GATCTATGTTCTAATAAACACTTTAGTGGGATTATTTCGTCTGTGGGGTATGTTGTTCTTCATTTTATGCCATATAAATAAATTTTATATGAATATAATATCTTATAGTGTATATCATACTAATTGTACGTCAACATCATTTAGTAAATTGATTTGAGAGTGAACAAGAATGGAATAGAAAATATTTTGGCTAAATTATTTTGGAATTCACTTCTTAAAAAATAATGTTACAAGTTAAAGTGTTTTGAAAAACTTCTGTATTACAATTTATATATTCATTACAAAATGTAAAGGTCCCTAGCTTGTAATTAAATGAAGTCATGAATTTATACCATTGAAAAACTAAAATTTACTGAAATGCAAGTACTTTGTTATCTGAGACTTTATATTTTATAAAATTCATTGAAATTTCATTAATCGGAAGGTAAACTAGTGGTAAATGATCAGGTACATTATATAGTTTAGATAAATTCGTTTAATTTAGAATTCATTAATCAGTTATGTCAAAAAAGAAAACTATATATCTCCCTGTTATAACTTAGAAGAAATACTGGTATTGGTGATTGGTATGGCTAAATGCTATGATTGTGGAGAAACTGATATTTGTTACTTGTGACAGCAGAATAAGGCTAACTCAATGTAAGGAAGATGAAGAGATTGCAAATGTGAATTTATGTGAACCATGTATAAATGTATAACAGATACAATCATTGATGTCATCATTGATTCAAAAACCATCTTAAAATTACATTGAATTATGTACTCCTAATAAAGAAAATCCTTTTTTTATACCTACATTTCATTATTTACTTTTAATTTGTATCAATAATTATTGAACGTCTAAAACCTTTCTATTTCATAAATAAGTCATCAATGGGAATACTATGTAGTTTAATTTTAATATCTAATTATTATATCACATTATATATTCCATATTGAGCTAAATGAACTCCAGTTACTAATACTCTTCTTTATCCTTCTATAATATCTAAAGTTTAATAATAATAATCAGTCATAAATATTGATATTCAACTAGAAATGGGCTTTCATTTCAACAAATAGGAGAAATATAAAATCAAGAAATGAATAACATTTCTTTTATACTTATTAAACTTATTATTTGATTCATAAAACACAGGGAATTAATATTTTATATCATCATTATAATGATTGTTTGAAGCGATTGGTCTATTTCATGGGAGTGAGCTGTTTATTTTTATGTTGAATATTTGTAAATAATTAATTAAAAAGAATAAATTGAGACTATATTATACAAAATCATTTATATTGTACTTTAGTACAATAAAGACAATCATGTATATCCAAAAAAGTGAAGATACTTTCATTAGATAGAACTAGAGAAGGAAGCTTCATGTTACATTTAATCGATTAATGATCATTTAAAATAACATTGAACAGCTATTTTAGAATTATGTTTATACAGTTTATTCATGAAGGTGAACAAGTTTTGAAGTGAGAATAAAATTGAATGAATAAGATCTTATAATTATGGATGAATAATTATCAGTACTGTCATTAGTTCATGCATACATATAACTGTACAAATATTAACTCAAAAGAAAATTTTCCACTATTTATAAAGTAATCAAATAACATATACATAAATTTGACTAATCTTAAAGGTGTTGTGAACAAATACAGAAAAAAAAGCAAACAAATAAACATAATCTTAGTTCAAAATGTGATTTCTAGGGAAATTTGATTGAGTTTACTTTTGAGCACTATAATTTAAATGAGATATAATAGCAATAAAAAAAACAACTATAAGGAAAGGTAATCTTATAAACCTCAAAAGTAGTATATATGGATTGTGAAAAGAAGTAAAACTGACGTGAAAGAGAACAAAGAGAACTTTTAAATAAACTGTATGATGATCATGCTTGATATTATTTAATAAAGATTTTAAAAAAAAGAACTCATGAAACCTATTATCATGTTCACTAATATCAGTATATTGAAGAAACAGAATTCAGGAATATCTCTTTAATTTATGAATACAATTAAGTATACTAGAAAGCATGTAATTATACACAAATACAAATAATAGAAATAGTAATAATTGATATCGTTGATAATGGAAATTATTGAAAAGTATTCGTGAATGACAAATTGTTAGGTAGATGATGTAGACCAGCTTGTAGATCAATAGGTGAATAGGGAGACGGACATAAAAATTTATAAAAAAAAACTCGCTTTGAAAAAGACAGTCAATCTCAGTCGATTATTTGTTCATTTGTCTTTTTTTTTAAAGGACAGAACTGATTAAACAAATAGGAAATTAACAATTAAATAGAATTATAAAGTAACGATGGGAAATGACGTCTATATTGATGTCCAGTAGTATTAGGAAGATATATTTTCATAACGATTTTTTCAATCAAGCGAGTGACTATTCATTTTTAAATTTGCGAAGAAAATATAACTAAAAAAATGATGACTGACAAAAAGAGACTTGTTTCCGTTTTTGTATTTAAATGTGGTGAATCTTCTAGGAAGTGATAAAACAAGAGACTAGAAAGATTAATAAATGTAAAAAGAATAAAAGAGGATATTACAGAACTAAAATATGAATGTCACCAACTGATAACCCACTTCTTTCTAAGCTTTCACTTCATAATTTCCATTTTATTGTATTATACTACTAGTTGGAAACACTAGTAGTTATTAAGATCACAATTGAATTCAATTGGAGAATAAACCACTAACCAACTGGGAAGGAAAAAGTAAGAATAAATATTGTTATATATATAAAACAATGAAAAAAAATTCTACTCGTTAGTGAAGACTAAGAATGAAATGGTTATTGATGATAACAAATCAACTCTAAAGAAGGGTAATAATTATTACTATTATTTCTAAAAATGCATCTACTGGGTATGGACTAATAAATAACTAAGTAAATAAATAATTTTATGTATTACTAGGAATAAATAAACAAGATGAACAAGAGACATAAAATGCGAACTATGATTCTATTTTCTCATTGATTGTTCTCATTAACCACTTAGCTAACAGTAATAATGATGCATGATTGATTACATGTTAACTTACAAATAGTTCCATAAGAAATAAACAAAATGTAATGTAAATATAAATGTGTGTGTGTGTGTTTGTGAAAGAACAATACAGTACAAGTAAAACGAAAGCAAAACGATTATTCTTGTAAAGGAAAAATCGAGGAAAGAACAAAAGACAAAATGGTTGTAGTTATTGTAAACGTTAAAAAACGAAGTGTGTAACCAAAGAAATTTGTATAAATATATTTTTATTTGGGAAAAGACAGGTCAATTTTCTTTAGCAAGAGAGAAACGAAAAAGAGAGCAGAAAAGTAGATAACTAAACAATATAGTTATGCTGACAGAATTCTACAAACAGAATGAAAAATCAACTAGTATCGATTTTCTTGATGAATAGCATTTTTGGGTTGTGTTTTTATAAAGAAGATGAAATAAAGGCGAAATCTGTTTAAATAGTAAAATATCAGACAACTTTTAGTCATACCATAAAAAGAGATTTGGTATCATTCGTTAATCCTTTGTTCTTTGAATAACTTGGAAGAAAAAAGAAATGATATTAAAACAATTAGAAAAAGTGTCATAATCAGGTATGATTTAAACAAAAGGGGTAATAGTAAAAGAATGATTTGTTAGATAACAAAAAATTAAGAGTCAAATGAAATTCAAAAACTTTCTCTAACTGTATAGATGTAAATATGACTTTTAAGTGTATACACGTACGTAAAAAAGGACCTGAGATGAAAGAAACTAAAGTAGTTTAATTAGGTATTTACGTTAAGCGTTAAGTTTTCCAGTACAGTGAATCAAAACAAAAGAAAGAAAGCTGAATAATACATTTGAAAGACATTTGTTCATTAGTTCATTTTTGTACAAGTGTGATCTCTCTTAGTACTCAATGTCTCTTAGCATGTCATCGGTATACTTTTGTCACAAGTTATTTCCTATGTCCAATGATCTATGCCCTTATTAAAAATTCTTAACATCATCATTATTACTACTAGCAATATTATTAGTATTGTTATCATTGTTATTACTATGTGTTACTAACACTCAAATCTCTTCTTAGACTGACTACTGTCAAAAGAAACATTCTATTTTTTTCCGTGTTCTTCATCAAACATTTTTCATGAAACAAATAATTACGGTAAATTACTAATATATTGACCATTTTGTTTATCTATTATCTGACTTGCATTCGTTCTTCTGTAAAAAATATTTCTGTCAAACGTCAGTATGAAATTACCAAATGTATTATTTCAATTAATGAGTATGTGGGTTTTATTTATTAAAACAGAATAGCAGTCAACCATTTGGTCAATTAACCAGACATATGTATAACGGAGATGCCTGTTACAACAAAATGCTATATATATATATATATATATATATATATATATATATATATATATATATATATATATATATATATATATATATATATATATATATATATAAGGAAAATAGGGAAAAGAAATATTTGTGTGTGTGCACATATGTAAATGTGTAAGTGTTGGATATCTCTTATTGATAAATTTGGGAAGCAAGATATACGGTGAAAAAAAACCCAGTTTAAGAGGGTGGTAAGGTTGTACTATTAAATATTTAATATTATCACTATTAGTATTACCAACAGTAATAGTTTTTTCCCTGAACGTTATACAACAAATATCGAAAAATTCATAAAACATAATAATAAGGCAAATCAAGATAAAAGAGAGCAAAAGGAGCTGAGAAGGCACTTAATCTGTTTTGGCGGTAATACAAATGGTGTGTAAACGTGTATATATCCAACAAACAATATAATTTAATAATATGAGGTTTTAGTAATATTAATAGTGATAATAGTGAACTATGGTAAAGAATAGGAATAAAGTTATTTTTATAAGTAATGCTACATGATTTCTCCATTTTTTCACGATACATTGAACAGTTAAATCCAGTTATATCAGTGAAAAGTATCCTCTCGTTTTTTGCACAAAAGAAATTATACTACTCATTTTGTAAAAAGTAAGTTAGTTGTTGTTTACAATAACATAGGCATATATATTTATATTAAACGAAGTGAAAGTAAGGTGTCTCAAATTACGAAAGTCATATCCTATTAAGAAATCGAAATGCCGTGTTTGACTGATTGATCATTTGACAATACTTGTCAGTTAGTCGATCATTTGATGATTGAACATTTGAAGGAACCAGAAAAATCTAACGAGTACACTAAGTACTCATATCTGAAATATCAATATTGTCGAAATCGTTAAATCCTGTACAAATGAGTTCCTGTCAAGTCAAAAAAGAGAATAAAAATTTCAAAATAATGCTAGCTTAAGAGTCGAAATCTTTTAAAGTTGAAAAGTGTATCAAACCGTGTTATGCAATAAGTTTTTCAAACTTTAAGGAATAAAACTTCAAAACATAACAATTTTAGGACTGATTATATCAAAAAACAGCAACAGTTGTGGAAGTATTTAGATTAAGGGAATGTTTTAGTTCTATTTCACAAAGTTTTTCTTTGAAGGCAATCCGCTTGGAGTCTAAACAAGAATCTGAACGTCGTGGTAGATTATACAAAAATAATGCTGAATATTAAACCCACTCCAGCTAACGACAGTGCGAACATCATAATTGAATACTTTAATAATATTTGACTTATCAGAAAGACTACATTTTACATCACTGTAAAAAACACGATGTCAGAATGAATAAACGTAAACACAATATAAACAATCACAAACAGAAATAAACAATTATTCAGCAGAATTTCACTTACACATCTGTGATGGGTCTCACGAGCATCAGATACAACTCACACAAACAACCACACTGAGAAATTATCAACTGGAGATATTCCGTTCTTTTATCTATTGATAAGAAAACTATTCATTTAACAACACCTATCTATGTAAGTCAGAAAATCTGAATAGTCTCTACATATTTTATTGTATTCACAAACCGATTGTTAACAGACGTCATTACATGGACTGTATTTCACAAATGAACGCTAACAGTTGATATTGATGTCCATATATAAGTCAGATAGCTTATTGATTAGGAGTAACATAGATGAGTTTTTATGCAGAACACTTTCCGTTTTTTGGAACAAAGTAACTCATCAGAAGCATTGATGGAATTTTCTAAGTATGTTAAAAGTGTACATGTTTTGTATTTTTAAGTCATTTTTATTAAGAACTCATCATTCATTTCCCCTGTTTTGTAATAGGTTAATTATAAGAAAAGACTAAAACTTATCCTTATGGTACACGTTTACTCATAAATCCCCTTTTATTTGAACTCTGAACTTTTACGTTTCGCGGTCAGCAAGATATCTCAAATTTGAAATGAAACGGTTTTAATTTTTGACTGCAAATGTATGGCGATGTAGTGTGATCTTTATCCAAAATCATCTATGAGGTACTACTTCACCGCGAATGTAGATGTTTCCACTTAACAGAGCTTACTGTTGGAATGCCATGAACTCCTTAATAAGGATAGTTACTAGCAAATAAGCTGTTATTATTAACAATTTCTAAGTTGAACTAATATCCGAAGACTACCTAATTTAGCGTAAAGTGCATTGATTAAAATCCGTACATGGCAGTTTGATTTCATTTACTTTCTTGACACCATTTGACAAACATCAGTTGATTAAATAACCAAAAGGCTAATTGTCTTGTTGATAACGCAAGACATTTAAGATTTTGATGGAGTAGCTATTTTGAAAAATGATGAATTTTCCCCACCTATTTTGCAAAGTTATTTCCTAGAAATTTACTTAATAACTTCAGTTACCTCGTTTGATAGATTAGCTTTTTTGAAGCCTGTTAAATCATGAAAGAATGCAGTTATTGAGGTGTGCCTACTAAGAGGCATAAAAGATATTTCGTTTAATACAGAGACAGATACTCAATGTAAATTTCGAAAACGGTTGGATCCTTATTTTCTGTTTGTACGACTCATCTCCTAGTAATCAGTAGCCTATTGATTTCCGGTAGTAATTTATTTTTTATTTAGAGCTGATAGATACTGTATTCCATCATACTGATTAAAAACTGAATGTTAATTAGTGAATTAGATAACTTATTAGTAAATATTAAAATTAAACTAGTTAAATTAATGGATTGTGTTTTTAAAAAAATCAGTGAACTTCATTAGACAATTGAAACATACTTCATTCGGATAAGCGATTCCTTCCATATGTTCTGCACCACAAGCACCAATGCCTAAATGAAAATTAAAAATGAAAACATAATTATTTGGTGATTAGAAATATATGAATATATACATAAAAAGTATCAAACCTTCGAATGCTTAGTTTCTCTAATTTAATACGCAAGTATTTAGCAATGAATGGAGTGGAGCCAATGTTAACATGTCTTTTTGGCTTTATCATCAGTAATTTGTGTTTTTGGTGCCTGAAAGATTGGAGCGTTTAGAGTTAAATGTTGCCAACAACCTGGTGAACTGAAACTAACTTGTCCTGATAGTGAACTTTGACTTTACGGTTTACGGGGGGGGGTCATACTAGGACAAAACAGCTGTTCAGTAATTCATGGTTTTCAGTCATATTTCAAATGAGATCAATCTATAACGAATACTGTCTGAAGATTAGTCTCCACTAAACTGCTTCATCTAAAATATATGTTGAATTATTATAATGTTTATGAATAATTCCTTATCACCAGTGTTTGTACTTTCTTTTCTAAACCTACCTAAATAAAATTATATATATATATATATAATTTATCGCTGAAAAATTCCCATTATATTAAAACACAATTGTATTCTTCTTTCATATAACTGTGTTTTAAAAATTTATCTGCAGTAATAATTTCCTCCATACATTGAGCTAAATTAGTCCTGTTCCATTGTAGCAAGTAGCAGTTTCTTCGCAGTTGCAGTAAATAGTTAGACCAGTAGCAGGATAACAGTTTATTTTTTATTAAAACACCAGATCCTTCCAGAATCATACTATTAGTATTATCAGTATTTTGTGAAGATATAACATTACCCAGTCATTTAGTTGGAATTTTTCGAACTGTTTTTACGAATGACCATATCTGTTCGTGATGAAAACTATAGTGAAATTTAATTAAATATTTTCGGAAAAAACCATACATCTAATCCTAAAAAAGTATATTATTACACGTTTGTATTTCTTTTGATCATGTATGCCTTTAGGTAGATAGATGTCTCAAATTATTTAACTTGAAATGTACAATATAAAGGTTTATTCATTCATTCGACAATCAACAAATTCTCTAATAACACATATTATTTCATTAAATCAGTAGGTACTAGTTGAAATATACATAGGTATTTTAACGACTTATTAAGAAAAGAGGCAACTTTGATTCATAATGAGACCTTGCTTGTTCATCCTTGATAAGGTCATAAACTAAGGTAAAATAGCTATCCAATAGTCTCTAGCTTACTATGATTCCCAGGCTGATATCGATTCGTGATATAAAACAACTTAAAAATACTATTTAAATGTATATAAAATCTTCTGTATGCTGTTTTATATATAAAATGTGAATTAAGGAAATCTGATGTTAAATTCAAATTAATTCAACATGATAATGTTTCAGATGACATTATCAATATAGTTATCATACTGGAACTATTGACAACTTTCTAAGGGTGGTCGGATAAAATTCTATTTTCTTGATAATCATAATTTTGTTATTTTTAGACAAGACTATATTGAGAAGATGACGATTAAGAGTAGTGGGATCAGTAATATCAAAGACATTATCGTAGTATTTGAGAGTGTTCATCATTGCTAGTACTTATTTGCTTCTATACCACAACATTTGGTATTGCATCAAAGTGATCTGCGATTTTGATTAATAAAACTGTTACGCTTACCGAAGCTATTCTTCGCATAGAGTATCAAGTGTTCGGAGCTTCTATATACCTTATCCAGTCACATTAATTGAGCACTAATCTAACGCATATTAACTATCAGTATAGGGGTTGTGGAGATTGTTAAGTTTTGATTGAGATCATGAACCGATTAGTGTTAGAACAACATTGAAAACCTGGAAGCACTGGACGGCCGTTTTGTCGTATTCTTGGACTCCTTAGCAGTCGCACCCACGATCCCACTCGCGGGACCCGAACCCAGGGCCTTCAGTCTCGCGCGCGAACGCTTAATCTACTGGACCACTGGGGTGGCATCCAACGGTTTTAATGTCTAACCTCAACCAATCCACGAAGCTGCATAACAACTACTCTGATGGGTTTTTGTACAAAGTGTTTCATTTCGGTTTCATTTTAGAATTCAGGAAAGGTGCATTAATGATTCTGAGTGTAATGTTATCAACAAAATGTATATTATTTAACTGAGTTTTTATTTTTCTATCTCTTGGTAATGCCTAATGGCGATGAAATCTAGCTTTTAATTATCAGATGTTTTCACGACCGTCATATAAGAAAGCCATTAGCATGGGTTTTTAATTTCTGTTTGTTGATATGTAGAACTTCAACTGATCAGTTTCTGCTGCTAATTGAGTATTCGGTGTAGATTGTCTCAATATAGAGTTGAGTGGAATCCTAGATAGGGTTTTCATCATATTTTAAGGTTGTCAGCCGGATGTCCTCATATTTTGTGTGACAGTGAACTTGTACTTTATTGATTTTAATGCTTCTAAATATCCCTGGAAGATTTCAAAAGCTAGAATCGATGTCGTACTTGCTTAGCTGCAATATAACACCAATGTTGAGTATCCTCAGATAATCGGAGTCTTCAGTACAGCTTTCTCAGTCGGTGCTGCAGTCTTTCCTTCTGAGCTTTTGGTCAAGGCCAACAATTTTCATGGACTGTTTTCTCAGTCCGAACTGTTCTGAAGGAGTACTGTGCAAAGACGATGCTTCGTTAATATTCCTCTGAAAAGGAAACTAGATACGTGAAGGCGCAAAAGACTACATACATTCAGTCTTCTATATCAATACAGGAGGTCAATAATCATTCATAACCAACAATTCCAGCAGTTTAGACTGCTTGCTGATTAAAACGTTAAGCAGTTGCTACAAGAAGCTATGTTTTTGAAAGCTACAAAACATCTAAGTACAAATTATCTATGAGAGAGGATAATCTTAGTAAACATTGGATATAAGCAGCACATTGTCATCTTAATTACTTTCAGTACATTTTGTTTATCTATTTAAATTGTAATAAGACGATAGAAATGACCTAATTGATTGTAAGTTAAACTAAATCCTGTATGTTATGTACGTATGGTTCATTTGATTGAGTGACAGAGTACCGTTATTGTATGGATAACAGTATTACCGCACACACGTACATACACACACAGCCATCCACATATAAATACAGATAAACACTTTAACATTAGCACACATCTATTGAGTAGTGTTATTTATTTCGTATGACCTTTGTGAATTTAGTACATTTTATGTGTCAGAATGTTTTTTAACTTTTATTTTTATAATTTACTGATTTTTTTTGTTATTTGCTAGTTTCATAATTCATGGAGATCATATTAAGGTGTATAGACCATTGTACGTATATGAGTATATACACACACATGTAAATAGATCTGTTTATGTGTGCAAAAGACTAAATGTACTAATATCTACTTAAAGTGACGATAAATTAAAGTATTGGTCGTATTGGTTTTCTCTACTGTAAAATCATACTAAATGAAAAAAAAGTAGCTGAATCTATATTTAAATACGTCAATTTTCAGTTCAGTTAGTAGAATCTTTACTTTCCTTCATATTAGTTTAAAACAAAGTTAAATGTGAATATTAAGTAGCTATTTCTTCCTACTATACAGCTCTCCGGCCATGTACACCCACTATACTACAAAGGATCTATCCCCATGACTTCTAGATTTCTCGGAGAGTAACTTAATAGATACATCATTAGGTTGATATCTAATCATTCTGATTTCCGATTTCAATAAATTTATAATATAAACTTGAAGGTTCTGGTTTAGATCTCTTGTCTAGTGGTGGATACACACACTAGTAAATAGTCTTATACTATAAAGAAACAATTAAATAGTACTCTCAGATTTTCTTTTTTGTTGACGGAAATTCAACAGAATTTATTCCATGAGAATTATCACTTGTACATTTAGAAAATCTGAATAAAAATGAAAGGTGAATAGTTAAAAAATAAAGTTACATTAAACCAATTCTCTCTTATTTAGTTCAATTAAATTACATAGAAACTAATTTCTATGATTAATTTCTAAATAAATGAATAAACTTTAAAACAAAATTTATAAAAATTAACGTATAATTATTAATATTATTTTTATATTATTCATTAAAAGTCAATTTAATAATTACTAGCTCATTTGTTTCATAACAAAGTTTAAATTATATTGAGTTTTTGTAATGTATTCATCTTTTAAAAAAAAAAGTTTTCACCGTCAAACATTTGTAAAGTTCATTATTAGTCTAGACATAGTTGATAATAGATTGAATCCAAAATAATAAAACAAAAATTATTGCAGTAATAAGAGTTGACTCGTTTTTCATGACGAATTCTGTTAGGTGTTTTTTTCTACACTTGTTTTAATACACTTTAGTTTATGAATAGGTTTAAATGCTTTAATATATATATATATATATATATATATATATATATATATATATATATATATATATATGTATCTTGTAAGTTTAATCACTTTCTAGAGGAGTGATACTGTGGTGTGTATTACTTATAAGCACATAAGTAGTATATAATGGTGGTCAGGTATAGAATGTATTTCAGTAGAAGATTGGGAAGGGAAAAACAGGAACTGAACAGAATTGGTATGAAAATGCATGAACAATCAAGTGACTGATATTTGCAAAGGAACAGACAAATCTGAGACGATGGATTGATATTTTATAAATTAACTATTCACTATATGGTTCTCAGATTTTATTGAGATGCTCTGTAATTTTGTGCTTAATAGCATTCGATTGTCCCCATTCATGTTCTTATTCACTACATTTGGTGTCGTTGCTGCTCAATACAATACTTGTTTCGAACAGTGATTTAATCATAAGTTCCTGATTTTCTTGAAATGATCTTAATTGAGAATGAATGTTGTGTTTAGATGAGTTAAAATAATAGATGACTTGTATTGTTTTTGACCTGCTTATTTGATTTTTTTGAATACATAGGTGAAATAGTTATCCGCTTTATCGTTGTTCGTTTTAGGTTCATATATTAACTATCTTTGAGAATCATATT